TTTTAAGAGAAAATTCACTTTTGAAGTTTTTACTTTTAAATGATGATAGCGTTACAGGTTCCTTCTTCCAGTTGTGTGTGTGTGTGATTCCCACTTCCTTATCTTACACTTTTTTTTGGCTTTTTTTTTTTTTTTTGGAGACAGTCTCGCTATGCAGTTCAGGTTGGCTTTGAGTTTGCTATGCAGCCCAGGGTGGCCTGGAACTTGCAGCAATCCTCTGGCATATTCTTTAAGTATGTTCATCGGCTCTCACGATAGCTCAGGGAAGCGACCAGGACGTGCCTGATTAATCCATTTCATAGGCTAGGAAACAGAGAGACTACAGCTCATTGCGAGGGTCTGACTCAGCACTCAAGGAGTTGCCTTTTCTAAGGAACTACCTGCGGCCCGGAAAGTAGAACAAGCCATCCCAGGCCAGGCTTCCACGGTTGGAGCTTGCACGCGAGCTCGCACTCACGCTCGGAGCTCCTCCCTCACGCTCCCCGCGCGACCCCCCTCCTCGGGAGCAGGTGGTAGGCTCCGCGCCCAAGGCGCAGGCGCGCGGCGCCGTGAGAGGCGGGGCGAGGCGGGAACGGGGCGGGGCCTGCGCGGGCTGGGTTTGGGTCTGCGGCTGGAGCCGGAGTGCCCCGCCACTCGAGTGCGCAGGCGCCTGGCGGTTACCGGTCTCGCCATGGAGCGGAAAGGTGAGCGGTGGAGCGGCCTCCGCCACGAGGGGCAACGGCCGCTGGAGCGAGACCTGAGTCAGCTCCGGGAGCCTCGCTTCTTCGCCGCAGTCCGGACCCCGGGCGTGCGGCGCTCTCCTTGGAGGTGGCGCCGCTGCACAACCCCCGCCTCTGGGCTGTGGGTCCGCGCCGCTCAGCCCCGGCGTCCTGGGGCGCCGGCCGTCACCGCCCCTTATTCCCCGCCAGGCCAGCTCGCGCCTTGGGGCCACTTCAGGGTCCGGCCGTCGTAGGGCGAGGAAGACCCCCGGCCTGGCCCGAGCTCCCTCGGGCGCCCCCCGCCTGGGCGCCGCCGTGCGCCCCGCGGGCCGCCAGCCCCCTCGCCCCGCAGCCGCCCATCAGGCAGGCCCTGCGGCCGGCCTGGCGCCTCTGCTGGGTCTCCACCCTCCCCTCGGTCGCCCCCCCCCCCCCCACTTGTCCTTCATCCATTCCTCTCTCCTGCAGTGCTTGCGCTCCAGGCCCGAAAGAAAAGGACCAAGGCCAAGAAGGACAAAGCTCAAAGGAAGTGAGTCTTGCACCCCAACGTCGCGTTCTTTGGATTTCCTCGGGCACCTCCTCAGCTCTAGATTCGTGTCTCGAACGTGCACCGGGTGTGGGCCCCCCGCCACATGGCCTCGGGGCTGCTCACCGGGGCGCTCTCCCGGAACCATGTGGAAGGGGGCTTCTTCCTGTTGCTGATCGCCAGGCCGGGGTCTTCTTAGCTGCCCCAGGCCTGCAGGAAAGGGCTGCTGGAGGAGGGCCCGAGCCCGCCCGCCACCTCTCCTCCCCAACTCCACGAGGAGGAGGCACGAGCTCCCCGAGTTTGGGGCCCCCACCGGAGCTGGTACCTCATTACCAATCTGTCCGTGAACTCTGGTCTCTTGCTAACTTGCTTCCCAGCGTCTTAACTTGTCTCCTGCGTCTGCACGGTAGGCCATCAGGAAATTCTTAATGAATTTTCCGTGTTTACTTTTGGTTCTGCCAGCCACACGCTCCCTTTCATAGAAAAGGGCACAGAGCTTTCCCCTAGTTAGTCAACTTCCTGAGCCTGCATGGCGCTCCAGCTTCCTTGCCTTGTGCATGATCGGGGTGTGTGTGCTAGCTAGCTCTTCTCTTCCTAAACCCCAAGCCCTGAACGGCGTTATCGCGGCAGTGCTGGAGAGCTCTTCCTACGCTGTTGGTGATTCTAGTTTGGTGTGTTCAGTGCCACACGTCCAGTTTATTCCGCGGAATGCACAGCGGCGGTTTAGCGCTATTGTGGGAAACACAGAATTTGTTCACAGCCTGGTAGAAACGCCCCGGGTGGAGGGTTTCCGCAAGTGAGGCTTAGCCTGAAGAACTTTTGTACTGTGTTTTACTTGCAAAGGCTCTTGGAAATCAGCTTAGACAATTTGCATTCCGGAAAAAAAATTCATCCAATTCTTAATTTTAGATGCACTATTTTCTGTACAGTTTTCCGTTTATTTGATGTTTTGTGGTGTTTTATACCGTCTCATACTGTAACCCATTTGAGAGACCTTTCTAGGTTGCCCTACTGAGTGACAATACCAGATGGGCTGGGTGGGTGTTGTTTTGGGGCTACCTGTTTGGGGAGAGCGTGTGATGACTTCTCTCAAAAGAACTGTAGAGACAGGTGACCTCACCTCTTGCTCCATTTTCTCTTATCTGTCTCATGAAATTTTTTTATTTTGTAAGTACTTGGCGTTTACTTCTTCATTACCCATTTATTCAAAGCCAGTTTTTAGTCCTAGACTGACTGGTTTAATAGAAAGAGTAAGGAGCTAACCCAGTTGTAGTACGCACTGGGACTTTAAAGGTTGCTTTTTCCTGTCCCTGAGTTTTGTTTTGTTTTTTTTTAAGTCCCTGAGTTTTGTTATTCTGTGTGGAATTGATAAGACTGTGTTAGAAAATGTTTTAATTTTACTGATTTAAAGAAGTAGTAATTTTATTATTAACTATTTTTTAGAAGTCCTGGTCTCTCAAGCCATCTGTCCTGGTCACTCATACCACTTGGAATTTAATCTTGATATTTGTGTGAATCAAACTAATTTAGGAAATAAATGTATATGTGTGATCATATACATTATATTTAACACTAGATAAACATGACTTTGGGTTATCTGTATCACATGCTTCATTTCTAAAGGTAGCATTGTACTGTGTTACTCCTCTGTTCATTCCTATGGGTAGCCTTGAGTTGTGTTCTTTTTCTTTTTGGTACCTGGGATCGAACTCAGGACCTTGCACTTTTGCACTTGCGAGGCAGCCGCCGGAACCAATGAGCTAAATCCCCGGCCCTGTGTTCTTAATTATTATAAGACGCACTTTTGTGACGGTATGAATTACAAATACTACTAGCAGTTATTTTACTGAAAAATTCATTTTGTACAGCTTCACCTCCTGAAAATATATGTGAATGAATTGCTTACATTTGCTTACAATCTCGCAGGTTTCTTTTTTTTTCCTCGCTTCAGTTAATAGTTTTTTCTTTATAATTTTAACCTCTTCCCCACCTTGTTTCACCAGCCTTCTTTTTAAGTAGCTGAAATACCTAAGTTGGTTAGGTAACTGTTTCCGAGGTTCAAGCCCCACCTGACTCAGGTCCCTTCACTCCTCCATGACTCCTGACTGCATCCCAGCAACTTCAGTTATTTGCAAAAGCAGGCTAAGTAGTTACCAGGTTAGGAAGGAAGAAGCACACGGTACAGATTGGGGTGTTTTTTGCTACTTTGTATCTGACCTTGTAGAAGTTATAGAAACAGTCTTACCCACTGTTGTGAGTGGTAGTTTAGTCATAATGAAAACTGATCAGGACCTAAAGATACAGAAACCAAGCACTCAAATGTAAATTTTAGAAACTTGTGAGTGGTCACAGATAATAGCATCCCTGGTAATTTAGTCATGGTGTGGCACAGGTGGAAAGGATTTTCTGACTTGATTTTGTAGAACCCGCACAATGAACCCAGGGTTGTCGAGCTGGTTGCAGTAGAATCAGGTTCTGCCTTCCTCTGCAGGATACTTTTGAATTTCCTTTGGGTTATTTCGCTGTCTTACTTCACTTCTTCAAAAATGTTTTATTTTCTAACATTAACTAGTTGGTAATAACCTCCATGTTACTTTACAGATAAGGAAATTGAAGTTTTGCCAGATTACTTCTCTAGAAATTATAAACCTGGGATTTGAACCCAGCCCTGGCTACTAACCATGATGACCGTTCCCTTTTTCTTCTTCTTTTTTTTTTTTTTTGTGATACCGGGGATCCAACTCAGGTCCTTGCGCTTCCGCAGCAGGCGGCAAAACCACTGAGCTAAATCCCCTGCCCAATGACAGTTCCTTTTGATGTGTCTGAGGCCAGATAAGGTAGACACTTGAGTGGAGAGAAGATTCTGACTGAGGAACTTCTGGTTGCCAGGGTATTTGGCCCTTTCATCAGCTACCATATTATGTCTCTGAAAGGCCACGGTGTTTTCTTCCTTTGAGCATTCAGTTTTCAATGTGTTCCAAAAGCTGTGTCCTTTATCTGCTGTCAGAAGCCTTTATAATTTAATACTTGACTGCTTTTGAAATTTTCTGAGGAACATAATTTCAAAATGGATTTCATACATAATTTGTTATTTACCTTGGAAAGTTAGACAGTAGTTTTCATTGTATTTGCAGTTAAAGAACTTTATAGATTTAGTGTAAATTTTGTAGTAAATTTATTTAATGGAACAAGAAAGTACAATACTTTTGCTCATTCTAGCACTTACTTGATCTGTGGAGTCAGAGCAGATGGGGATGGATAGTAGCTTTATTTCTTAATTTTCCCAAACTGAATTGTTATATTGAAAATTTAGGGAGGAAGTGCTTAACAATTTCTAAAACTTTTGTCTGGTGGGACATAGAATCATTATATTTGGAATATTTTAAAAATAAAGTAATATTGGGTGTTTTTTTAATACTCAATGATGCACTTTGGAAATTTGTTCTGTGTTCCGTAGTACAATCTTACTATATTTTTCTAGATCCACGTTTTTGTTCCCACTGTCTTAAAATGTTTCCATATTGAGATGCGGAGAGTAATCTCATTTAGCATTCCATTTATTTCAGTTTCTATTAAGAAACATGTTTATTTTTTTCTTTAGATAATGTCTCACTATATTGCCCAGACTGGTCCTGGATCTTGTGATCCCTCTGCTCCATCCTTCCAAGTAGCTGGGACTACAGGCACATGCCACAGACCCAGTTAAACATGTACACATTTTTGCTGGCATGGTCGTGGGGGTACCTGTAATCCCAGTACTAGGGAGGCAGAGGCAGGAGGATGGCTGTTAGTTCAAGGCTAGCATGAGATACATAGGTGAGTTTAAGGCTGGCTTGAGCTACATAACGATACCTTGTCTCCAAACAAGTAAAGCACCTTTAAGATAAAAATAGAATCATTGAACATATTTTTGCCCAGTTAACATTGCTAAGACTATTTCGCATAACATTGAATGTTCTACTATGGGTTGTTCTGCAGCTTTTCAGTTAATTCAAAGCTAAGATGAATAATCTTTTGGATAAATCATTGCTCTTCTCAGTGATTATTTTCTTAGGATAAATTCTTAGAATTTTTTTTTTTTGGTACCAGGGATCAAACTCGGGGCCTTGTGCTTGTGAGGCAAGCAACGGAACCACTGAGCTAAATCCCTGGTCCAGAATTGTTATTATTGATATGTATGTTTTAAAGATTTTGAATTCAGAAGCGGGGTATGGTGGCACACACCTGTAATCTCAGCGCTCAGGAGTCCCAGGAAGGAAGATTGCCCTGAGTTGGAGGCCACCCTGAACTACATAGTGAGACCCTATCTCAAAAAAAAAAGATTATGAATTCATATTCTCAAAATGTTGTCTAGAAAGATTTTTTGTTTGTTTGTTTGGTACCGGGGATCAAACTTGGGTCCTTGCAGGGGCAAGCGGCGGAACCACTGAGCTAAATCCCCGGCCCTAGAAAGATTTAACAAGCCTTAACTCGAATTTATGAAAATGTTTACCATATTCTAATCACTGCTTTCTATCCTTGGAATACAGCAATGAAGGTTTAAAAAAAAATCCTTATTCCCTAAGGAGTTTTATTTTAGTAAGGGGGAGACGATAAACAACAGAGATAGTGCTAAGTAATTATACAGTATACTATGTGATAAGGTGGAAACATAAAGAAAGATAAAGAGGATTGAGAAGTGGGGATACGGTTGCATTTTAAATGCAATTAATTTTAAATAGGGTGATGGAGGCCACTTTGAGAAGGTAGCATTTGAACAGACTTGAAGGAGGACTGAGCTTGGCAGAACAGTGGGCGTGTTCTTGCCTTTGCTGAGTAGAGACCAGGTCTTTGGAAATTTGGTGATCTGAAAAGTATCTTGTGGTTTTTGGTTTTTTTTTTTTGGTACCAGGGATCGAACTTGGGACCTTGTGCTTGTGAGGCAGGTGGCGGAACCACTGGTCTAAATCCCGGGCCAAAAAAACATTTTTAATTAAGTGGTTTCTTTAAATTTAAATGTGTGC